TTTCTGCAGATCATCAGCTTATCGAATGGGAGCCGAAATATGGCAGTGAGCAACACAGAAGAATACTGAATAGAGGTATTTTCTTTCCACAGTACAGTAACTGATGCCTTACAGCAAAAGTGTTGTAAAGCTGCGAATATAACTGTCATCGCAAACCAGAGGCGTTCAACGAACGCGAACGGCTCAAGGTGATCATGTCAATAAACAGACAACAAAATCAGAAGCTGCGAGATCTCCATATGCCCCTAGGAAATCAGAAAATCTGATAAGATATGAGTCGATACACTATTTCATCGGCAGGCAGCCGCAGATGAGTTGCATGACAGTACAATACCTCGAAACTCGCCCTACCTGAGGCAGATCTGTCATGACAAAAAATATTACCTTTGTTAAAATGGGGTATGTTGCCTCAGATTAATCGGAAATACAATTTTGTAACAGTAAGGCATAATGAATCTGGGCTAGCTTTTCAAGACGACTATGATATAAAAATATTTGTTAAGAGGGTAGACAAGTGACGATTGTTTGATGATCTGGTGATTCATTTACAAAAGATCACATCATGTTTATAAGATGAACGGTTGGTTGAAATTTCTTGGCTTTGTCTCGTTTACACGGTATCATCTTCGCCGTTTCAAATCCATTTACTAATTGATCACAGAATGATCTTTAACGCAATTCGCTTATTTGCGTGTGAAAGCACTGCTATAACTAAAGCGCATGGATGACATGATCTGCATGATAGCTACGATCTACAGTCACTTCTGCTGCCAAGTATTTCAAACAGTGTTCCCTTCAATATGCGAGGCAACGGTGCACTTGATGGTGTACAAAAAGAACGTTCCGGATCAATTTATTTCTCGTCGTGCAGCATCGATTGGTTTTTCGGAGCACGGCGTGGTTCGGATGCCTGCAAAATATGGATGCAATTGCAAGCAGCTGGTACCCGGCAGCACCTCCCGGATAAAAAAATCATTACATGTCGGGACAGACGTAATGAAAACCTGGCCAAACCTGTCAAACCGTGCAAAAAGTACAGCCTGAACGTCTGAACGTCGTGCCGTGACCTCACGAGTCACGGTCGTGCTCAAAAACAGTTTCAATACTTTCTGTCCCAGGTAAAAGATTCAAGCTAAGGAACGTCTCATCGCTCAACCCACTGAGTGCATCCCCATCGCTGCAGAACTGAAGACCGTCAGCTATGGCATAATTATTTATATCAAAATTAAAAAAGAAATACTGTGATCAACCCCATAAAATCTTTTAAGGCTGACGTAGATCCTGA